ACCGGCAGGGCGCAGCCCGGCCGCGCCGGACCCGGTGCCCCCCTCCCCCCTACCTTCCTGCTGGGGATGCTGCGGTGGCACTCGGCCCGGCTCTGCAGGAGCTGCTGGCCCCGCGCCTCGCGCTCCTCCTCGAGGCGGCTCTCCCGCTCCCGCTGCTGGAACTCCAGGTCCTCAAACAGCTTGGCCTCCGTCTCCAGCGCCTCCGCCTCCTTCGGACACACAAGGGCACAGCGGATCACTCCCTCTGGATGGGCACCTCTGCATCCCGCAGGCAGGTCTCCCGCAGCGAAACCTCCTGCCATGCCCCTACGTCCTGATGGTCCTGGCCGGGAACCCATGGCAAAGATTGTCCACGGTGCCCTGTGTGGACAGGCAGGCAGCTTTCCCTCCTGCCCGGCACCCGCAACGTGGGAGACACTGGCAACCTCTGCCCCACTGGAGAAGGCGATGGAGGTACCGGGCACTGGCCAGGTCAGAGCCGTCACCCCAATGAGATGAGGAGCTTGCCACAGCCGGGGGCTTCACTCAGCCCTCGGAGACTAGCTGCCCGTGTTGAACCGCATCCGGGCCGGTGTCATGCCCTGCCAGGCGGCAAAACACCATGCGCTGGTGTAACCACCAACACACGGCCCGCATCACCAAGCTGACAGGCGGAAGAGCCCCCATGGACGAGCACCGTGCCAGACAAACGCCTGCGCGTCCTCCCAGCCTTCAAGCACCGACAGCACACGGTAGCGCTCAGCTCAGGGTCTGCCGGTGCCGCCCCGGCAGCAATTGCACCGCGCTCCCCGTGGGGATGCGTTTCACCCTGCTCCGGGAGCAGGGCAGCCATTGCTATTGTGGCATGGCACAGCACCACCAACATGGTGGCTACCAAGGGCTCCCGTGCACCGGGACCTGCCCACCACACACCGGGACCCGCATCCAACATTGGGGTGCCTGCCCCAAGCAGGCTGCGGCGAGGCGCGTTTATCTGCACAGTGGGGGCCGGGCAGCCGCCGGCCGCGGGCTGAGAAAGGTCAGCCACTACCGGAAAATACCAGATAATGGGAAAAAATGCTGCAGACCGGCGGTAAAGGAAAAACAACGCACAGCGGAAACAAAAGC